TCTACAACACATTTTCTACATTTTAAGTTTAGCTTATTGTTTTAAATTGCATACAACTTTTTCTTTGGATTTTGAGTCACTTGGTCGGTTAACATGGTAGGTAAGCTATTGAAAATAAACTCAGTTTTACAATTGTAAAACTGTTTACTTTTCTTACAAATATTCGTATAAAAAAATAAGCTGGTTTATTAGTGTCTGGATCTGGGGTCATTGGGTCCCAATACATTGAAGGGATTGAAAACATGAATACTTTTTAAATAAAAAAAACGTTGCATTTCTACAGCTCTTGAGTCAAGTCTGCTGCATTATAAGATTATCTGGTTTTACTATTTATAGGTATTGTTTGATTACATTTAACATTTCTTTATTTTATTCTATAAACTACTGACAAAAACTCTCTGTGTTGGATTTCAACAGACACTGGAATGGAATGTCTGGCATACATGAAGAGATTGAGATTTAAGAAACATTTGGAGTGGTTTCCATAGCTGTATATTCATATGAGATGGAAGATCGACTAAAAGAAGGTGTGTATTCCTTTTCCAGTCTATTTGTAAAATTCAACATTTATTTGAAACCTTCGAGTCACATGATATGGAAGCTATTGAACAAATCCAATAGCTTAAAAACTCAGCCAATTCATTTCATGAACATATATTTATAAACAATAACAACAACAAAAAACAGAATAGAATTAGAAGGAGGACCACAACCCAATTGAAAGATGTGTGACTTTTCAATCAAACACTGCTGAATGTTCATGACATTTTTAATATAAAATCTGAGGTGGACTTTAATCCATTGTTTAATATACAATTCTGCATTAATTTGGAATGCATGATATCAACAAGAAAATAAAAAGTTGTGCCATACAGTGTACTGCCGACTGTGACATTGAGTAAAAAGACATCCGGAGTCAATGTCTGTCCAATTTCCAATCCAAGCTTGCGTCACAGCGGTCTTCAAATTGTATTTTTCATTTAAAAAAGAAAATGGGTTTGTTCTGAAACATTTGATAAACTACGTGTTTTTGGGGCTTATAAGAACATTGATGCAGTGTGGTCTTTAATTAGTACTGCACCTACATGAAATACATGTATGGCTATAACTAATTTGTTGAAATGATTTTTCTATTGCATTGTTTGGTTTTTTGATTGATAGAAAGGATTGGGTGTTGTATAGGGGGAACTGTGTCTATAGGGGCACAGACACACAAACACACAAATATACTCTTATATATGACCCTCTTGTGCTTTTTTTCAATTAGGCATTCACAGAAAGCTCCAATATTGCCCCAGGCACGATTATGAAAATGAGTTCTCAAGGTTGTTGTCCACTCTCTTCAAGTAGGCTATCAATATTGTTTTCCTTTAGCAGCCATGTTATTGAAATGTGCTCACAAAAAGGTTCATATAAGGTCACGGATATCCGGCAAGATAATTAAACTACATTCAGTGTAAACATAATGGTAAGCAAATGTTGTGTAACCTTTTATTTACATTTTAATCAGATGTAGAGATGTTGTTCCTGGCCCATATAAAATGAATAGACCACATGTATGTGTTTAACTATTTGTTGCCATCTTTGCATAACTTGAGACAGAAGCCCTCTTTGGATGTAACCCACTGTAAACAAGTAGATGGCGGCTTGACAATAACATAGTGACAGAGCAATACAACATATTTTGCCCCCAATACCAATATTATTGGAGATAAGAATTTGCAATTTATAGTTAATCATTTTCATTTTTATTGTATTTCATATTGCATTAATCTAATACTGACTACCTAGACAAGCTAGTGTTATTTTGGCTGCTGCATTTGAAGAAAAATCTTGGGCATCATTTGAAATATATTTGACAGGACATTAATTGCTACACTAATAGAATTTGTCCTAAACGTAACTATATTGATCAAAGAATATTATCAGCAAGTCCATGTTTTATTGTAAATGTCAGAAGTCTCCTCAAACACGACAAACTTAAATCATTAGCAACATATCTGAATCTTTCATTGCTGTTGGTAAATAATCCTTTTTAAAAAAATCACATTTGACCAGTTGCCTGTGTTTGCCCTTTCTGTAATATTGGTTATTTTGCTTCTACCTAGTCTGAAAATAACTCTGCTTTTTTAAAAATGTTTTTGGTAACCTGGCAACAGTAGTCAAGTGGAGAAGTGTCTGCAGCTTTCCTTGCCAAAGGATGCTCTTTCCTCTGTCTCTCCTTTCTCATTCACTCTTAATGTATGTCTGAAAAATGAGAACACTGAAACCAAATCACATGTTTATTCAGGATGAAATGTCTGGTTTTACTTATTACGAGTTTGATCTATCAAATGCTATGAACTTTAGCTTATTATCTGGAGGAATTGTTTGTATATCTTGTTCTTAATTAATGCACATGAAATAAGCAGAATACATCTTGTATCTTATCAGTGCACTCTTATGGTGAACGCTTTACCTGTGAGTTGCCTGTTGTTCGTTTGGATTCACTCAAATCTTATTGAAGAGAATAATCCTGTTTATGTTTGTGCCATTTTATTTATTTATTAGAGACTGACCTTTCCTTGGATGGACCCCATCATACACTGCAGGAAGCCCACGCTGTGGCCTATGCAGCCTACTTCACAGAGAAAGGACCTTCTGTGCCTCAGGTTCTCTGCCTCCTGCTTACAGAGCACTGCAATGTGTGAGTAGAGCCTTATTACACATGTGTCCCCTTATCTACACATTGAAAATAGCCTGAGGTCCAATTCAGCTACTGGAAGAATTGAATAATTGAGTGAAGAATGTGACCAGATTCTTCCTAATCCCATAGTGCACTCTCTTAGGAGAACAATAAGTATTATTTTATATATATATAAGATTTAGTAAAAAACCTGAACATTGGAAAAACCTTATTGACATCCGTCTATTTGTTGTTGACGTTTCACAAAAAGACAACAATGTTGACCTGCTGGTGGTGCTAGAGGAAAGGTCCTCAGGTTTCATTTTGATCTTTACATTAGCCCAACCCCTCTTAGTTACTGTTGCTATGTCTTTTTGCCATTTAAATCTTGTCACTTAAATTTGACAGTAAAGATTTGACATGAGTCCTACATTTCAAACGGATGCTGGTAAAAGCAGGTTCACAGTCAGCTGTTTTGACGACAGACGAGCTGTCGCTGGCTGAATGTATAAACCTGCAGCACCACTGAAAATTATTTGACTCAATGTGGTAGTTTTTTTATTTTCGTTTTGGCAGTGGTGTATTCAAATAATTAAAAAGTACAAGTACTACTATATTAAAGTACAATTTTATTTATTTAAAAATCATCATTAAACCACTGTTTCAGGTGAAAAATATTCATTGCTAGCAAAAAAAACAAAAAACAAGCGGTAATAATCATAGCTTCAGAGGTAATACAATTGCAAATTACTTTAAGATGTATGTAGCGGAAATAACTCCCATATGAGTTAGCCGCTGAGAGGCTAAAATGTGACGCGTTCCATTTAAGAGTCCGTAGTCATTTGTAGTCCATGGTGTTTTATGAAGACGAAAACAAACAATATACAACTCCAGACCTGACGGTCAACAAAAAGTATCAGTGCGCCATTCACCCTCTTCCTACATCATATCCTCCAAACCGGCATCCAACAGGTGACTAAATACCAATAAACCACACCCACGTGACCATTGCCGGAAGTGATAAACAATAAGAATTAAACGTGATGCAAACAGAAATGAAGATAATAATAGAAGTAATAAGTAATGGCAAAACAAGCATTATGGCTCCTACAATGTATAATAAACGTTATACAACATATAACACATATTAGCATACAGGATATCCTTCTAATATAAAATAAAAAAGGATACTTATTATATCTTTTTCCAAATACAAGTGTTATCCAAATATACGTCTAACCAAATTTGCACATCTGTTGTTCTAGTACATTTGTACTATCTGCCCTCATACATATAAACAGTAAATTGCTAATTAAATGTGTAGGTGGTAACTGTTAACATGAATGTGGGGGGGGGGGGGGGGGGAGCTGATAATGGTGACAATCAAATCATGGGGGTGGCATTTATTTCTTCTGATTCCTTTTATGGGTATATTTCTCCGTCTCTTTTCGTTATACCTCAACAGTATCTCATTAAATCACTCCAGCATCTCAGCTCTGATGATGTACGTATCATTTTTAAAGGGCAGTCAGGAGAAAACAAAATGTGCACCTGCGTCTGGAATGGTCTCTTCCACTATTCTGCAAGCCTCCCCTGAATGAGTCATCCAGCCGGCTCCTCATTGGATAAGACCATGCCATCCCAAGGGATTGCCTTGCAGAGGCAGAAAGGCCTTGCTTCCATTCACAGAAACATTGGTATGCCAGCCTGCTATTTCATTCACATAAAAGACTAAATATTGCATGCCTTTTGTCCTCTGCTCTTGTTCTCCTTTTGTCTTATTGCCTCCTCATTTGATGATTTGCGAGGGCCTGCCCTTTCTTCCCTGCTTTTGTGTTTGCCTTTTTTTCTGAGGAGAGAAGGCAGACGTGCTGTCTTTCTTTTTTTTTTTCTTTTTTTCTATATTTGCCAGGCAGGAAAGAGAGATGTTGGGAGGGACTGCAGTGCGAAATCTGCAGCAGAGTGAGAGCGGAAGCTGCTTATGAATGAGTGTCAGTCTTTCGGCTTTGCTAGATGCTCCTGAGGACATTTTACATGAATGGTGTCTGGCTGTGTGCTTTCCGCTACCGGGGAGACAAAGATGCTTCATTGCTGTCGGTCTTAAGGAGACTCGTGGGCTATTTCTGTTATCCTTTCCGTTGTTTCATTGACTCATCTGCCTGAGAAACACGTCGTTCATGCCGGTTTTCTTTTTTCTTTAGTTGTGTCATTCATGTAATTCAAGCCGGACCAATTGCTGGGTTATTTCAGACGAGCTGTGAGATTGTTTCTGCTCCCTTGTTGTGAATTGGATTTCTTATGCCTTTGTTGCAGAACATAGATAGAGAATCAGAGCTGCACATTAGACGAATGGTCTCAAAACAATTTATATGTGTATACAAAAATAGCTTTATTTATTTTTGCATTAATGGATGATTATTAATACATTGTGCAGAAACAACAAGTGTATTAGGAAGATATCGTTTTTTTTAAAGTATATCTAAGAACCAACTGTCTGCCCATAATCTGCAGCTATTATACATTAACATGGACAATATATTAATGATGTTGCGTATTTTCCGATCATGCTAACATTTTACTGTATTGTTGCATTCAGTGGTTGAACGTATGGATTAACATCCTTATAGGAAAATGACGTCTTTATGATACATTAAAATAGAGATTTTATTCTTTAATGAAAAACGTTTGAAATGATTAACTGCCAGTGAAATGGATAGTTTTCATTACCTATTTCATTTATCATAATTTCTGTGATCATTTTATGGCGTGTAACCTTCTTTTTGTCACAGCTTTTGAACAGTTCAACCCTTAAATAAGATATTAATTGTGTACGACCAGAAGTCAAGCAAATTATTCTCAATATTTGTCTTGCTAAGTTAAATAATCACCTCTCATTCCTCATTTCCTTTTCCCCAGAAAAACAAACAAGAAGGGAAGAATTACAGAGAATAAACATCAGACTGGGGAATTTAAAAATTGATTGGTTCTAGTGTGCTGTAAGTGGGAGTTTTTTTTCTCCCTCCGACAGGAAGTGATTTGCAGTGTTCAGCAAGCCTTTTGTTGAGAAGGTTTTCTCAGATCAGTGAGTCATGCTTTAGCTCTGAGCCGGCAGGCAGGCAGCAGTCAGTAGAGAGTGTTTGCTCTTCCCTCGCAGTATCCGTGATCATCGACAACATAGACCTTTCTCTGTTCTCTTACTTTTTGGATTTTTGAGGCTAGAAACCATCAGCAGCATCACCGCTGGAAACCAAACAAGCTGCACCACAACACTGGCAGCCTTTTACAGACCTTTTTCCTCTCCATCCTCTTCCTCCTCTGCCTCAATGCTGTGTTTCCATGGATTGTGTCTGTATATTGCTCTCTGACGGATTGGATTGCAGCTCTGGATTTTACTGAGAGCAGATTGGACTTTGGCGACAGCAGCAGCAGCAGCAGCAGCAGCAGCAGCTCAACACAACCACCACTGTAACCTCCAATAGAGAAAAAATTACAGTCAGGTGGCCTTTGATTGCTAAAAGGCGTTTGCTGCCTGTACCGCTGCTGCTATGTTACAGGAGAGGGTAATCAGCACGGCTCAGCCACGTCTGCCAGCACACTTGTGAAAAAGGCAGGCTGTGCGCGTCGGTTGGTGGAGAGAGCAAGAGAGAGAAGGGTATGCTTCACCGTACCAAATACAACCGCTTCAGGAATGAGTCAGTAACATCCGTCGATGAGCTTCTCCACGGCCTGTCCATGAACCCCAAGGTCTCGGCCACCCCCCAGTCTGCAGCCGAGACATCTTACACGCCCCCGACGGAGGTCCAGGCCTCCTCCACCTCCACCACTGCTTCCAGCACCTCCACCGGCCACGGCTCCGACCACCTGGAAGATGGAGGCACCACCCTCTGCACCCTCATCAACAAGGTGTCCAGCCTGAAATTCAGCAACTCAGGCAGCCTGCTGGGCATCAAAGGTCTGCCCTCGGCTGTCAAGGACCTGGCTGTGTCTAAGCTGCAGGGGGGTGGGGGATCCAGTGGTTCGAGCCCCAGCGCGGCAGCCTCTGGTGTGGGCTCGGCCTCCCATTCATCCCCCGTCAACATGAGCAAGAAGAGCAGGCTGGACGAGCACCAGCCCGGCGGAGAGGACTGGAACACAGGTGGGGGTAGCGGACTGTTGAGCAAACCCCCCCGAGGGTGGCTACACTCGAGCGAGAAGATCTCTGGTCCAGGAGTGACATATATTGTGAAGGTTGGTGGTCTCATTTTCAGTTTTTTTGTCCTCCCCCTCTTTTACATTCTTTACCCATTCTCTCTTTTCTTTCAATGACTCAAGCTTCAGCTACCTGAAGGGGGGAGGGGGTAAAGGAGAGATAATGTAGTTCCATTGGCACATCACAACATGCCCTTGAGTGGGTGTATGTAGGTTGGCTACAGCAGAAGGAGCAGCGACGAGAAAATAGACATTTAATAATTCAGGAAATAGAGAAGGTCAACATTGGGGGGTTTAGGAAAGATGTGATGGGAAAACAATACACGCAATTATCAGCGTCGTTTTGAGCATGCTGTAAACATTTCAATTCATACCGTTCGTCTTGTGTATGTGCAGCCACAGCGTTATGCTTTTGTAACCATGGTGATGTGTTATTTCTGTACATTGTGCATCTCTATGAGCTCTGTGGCTGTTTTAGCTCTCAGATAGTGAAATGGTGGAATAGGGGGAAAAGAAGACATACAGAGCATGTTTGTCTCACAGCATCCGTGTCTCATGTTAATGTGCAGCCATCATACATCATTTAAAGGGGCACAAGTTGGCGCACAACTACGAGAGCTGTGAATGTCATCATGCCGGCAATGAGTCACTAGCATGAGGAGTGATGATGCTGAGCTCTTCAAGGTGTAAAGTGAATGAAAAACGGAACAAACCATTTTCACTGCAACCAGAACAAGCAGTAAATCCTCTTTGATTTATGTAGCACATCATAAAAAGTAGGTTTTAGCATACTCAAGAGCAATGTGTTATTTCCAAATCAAGTTACACGGTATGATTGCCATCACATGACACCCACTATAACTTGCCTGAACAAAGCCTCCAGTATCTGTGACCAGCGTGACATTCCATTAACTGCATTAAGGACGGGAGCGCTTATTTGTCCAGTCAATGCCGCTGAAAGCATCCACACGGTGAGAGGGGGAATGTGTCCAGTCCGTGCGCCCCTACCCTCTGCTTTTCCTGTGGTTTGAGGTCCTGTGTGTATTGAGTTCAGCGTGGTGTTATGCTCACAGCACTTTTAATTAGCGTCATGCGGTCACTCCGCGCGCATCATGCACCATTACTCTAAAGGGACATAGATTGACAGTGACACTGTTTACACTCTCACTTTTGGCCCATTGTAGCTGTGTGTTTATACCAAAAAAGGCCAAAACAAATAGCTAACATGAGTTAAAAAACACTAAATTAAAGCGACCCCTTCACAAATAGTCATGCGATCTCTTGTTAATATAAGAATATTGACTAGAGCTGCGTGTTTGGTACAAATTAGCATCCTTTTTGGACTGGTTAGTATGTTTTAGTTAGTGCACATCCTTATTTGTTGCATATTCTTCCAGTTTTTTTTAACATTTATTATTACACTTCATTACACACAAGGCTAAATGAAAGTTTATTTATTAGATATGTGCTTTATTCTCTGTACCGGACATAGCAGAATCAGAAACAAGTGTATTGGCAGGTACGTTTATACATACAATGAATTTGCTTTTTGCTTTGGTGCGAACATAGACAATCTAAGAAGATAAGTTGGAATAGTAGGTAAAAAAAGAAATATATAAGGATAATACAAAATTATTATTTTTAAGAAAGAATTTAGCATTAAAAAAGGATACTTAAGACAAGTATTCACACCAAATGTAAATATACAAAGAACCATAAAAGCTAAGACTCAAAACCACTTAGGACAATGAAAACATGACAATATCCTGCCTAGACTGAGTTAAGTGTAACTATGCACATTATGGAACAAACACATCTTGTGACATTGTAAATATGAGGGAAATGAAATATACCCGTTATCATTTGGAATAAACATTTGAATTCATGAACATAACATCAGAACTGAATCCGTTATTATGTGTTTTATGTTTCAGCTCTTCTTCTGTTCATAAAGTCAGCAGTGTGCATGTTTGTGTAGTTTTGTGAATGCATGTCTTCTTTCACTGAAATCATTTCTTCAGACCAGGCCTCCCATTGATTTTCATAATTAATTTGAAGTTCAGTAGCACTGTGGGAACCATGTTCCTGTTCTTTCGTACAGCACGAGAGGAAATGTGCTCAGAATAGGTCTTTTAGCATTTTTATAACTGTTTGATTTATTTTTGGCCCTGCTGAATTGTGCACTTTAAACGCTCCGTACTGAAAATAGATGACACTAAAAATCTGCAAACGTCATGTTGACAAAACTGTATTTGTTTGTCTGTGCTTGCTAAACGCTCGCTGGAGAGAAGGGGCCTCATAATATGAAAGTTATGATTCTAATACTTTTGAGAAAGGAGTAGAAATAGAAACATTAGTGTGTCTGGATTTCTGTTTTGTGTACAGACAGATTATGAATGTGATTCTGGTAACAATAGGAACTCGTCAGCACAAAATGTTCTCGGCCTGTGCAATATTAATCACAGGAGGTGTTGTAATGTGAGTAGGTGGCTGGGGCTGAAGATGGTTTTATGGGATGTTGGGACTACAGCCACCTCATGTGGCATAGTAACACAAAAAATCACTTATTTTCCCAACAAATCATGTCAGACTGGCTTTTAAACTCTTGCTGGGTGTTTTCTGTTTTAACTAGGAAGTAGAAACCATGTAATACAGGTTCATGCGTATTTGCAACTATTATGCACAGTTTTAGATTATTTGTTAGTTGTTTTTTTTATCACAGTATGTGTCATTTATCGATTAGTCATTTGTGCTCCAAAAGCAAGAAGTTAAACTGCAGTTTTTATCGTAAACAAACAAATGTATCTTTTAAGTTTTTCTTATCAAAACGCATTATTTATTTTAAATGAATTGTATGTTGTAGTAGCATTACTGTTTCTTGGAATTAGTGAGTTTAGATTGATGCAAATAAATGAGGTATGTTTGTAATCGTGAATGTAACGTTTGTCCTTTTTGCTTTCCAGTATCTCGGCTGTTTAGAAGTCCTTCGGTCAATGAGATCTCTGGATTTCACCACAAGATCACAAATTACAAGGTATGTTTGTTAACACTTTGTATTCGGACTTTTCATGATTGACTAGATTTACTCCAAAACTATTTTCAGTACAGCAGTCATTATCCCAGTTTACTATTAAAACCCACAAACAACACTTTAAGAGAAACTAAACTGAACACTTGATAGAATTCTTAACTATCCAACATTTGTTTTGAGTTATTTTGAAGGCTTTACTACGAAATCTCAAACATTTTGAATCAAAAATAATGTCATAAATATAACTCTATTTACATTTTCCATGGATCAGATCAGTGAAAATCTTTGATGTCACAAATAGTTTTTAGGTGACTAGTTGTTTAAACATTTACATTTTTGTCTACTAAAACACTTTATTTTGTAATAAAATCACTTCTCTCTGTCATGTCTTAGTTCATTGACATGTATAATTAGTCCGTTTTAAAAGGTTCAATCGGCAATTAAATAAATATTGTTTTAAAACATGAAATAATTTTGCGTACATGTATTTTAGAGCACATTTAGGGTGTCTGTTATCACAATTTGTTTGCATGGAATGTTCTGACTCCATGTGTATGTTAGAAATCATTGACCAATGTGCAGTGAGGCAAAGGCCAGCAGTGAATCGGTTTGTGTCATGTCCACTTTTATGCTTGACTTCCTGAAGTCAGTCCAGACTAACGGTAGTTTGCAAAGCCACACAGCAGCACTCTCTTACTTTCTCTCATTGTGCATGTGTGTTTCAGTTTTCCTCTAATAAACAGAGATAGACAAACAAAGACAAATGTTATGTCTCATGCTACTGCTATTACTAGATGATGACTTTTCTAGAATAATCTACTGCTGTGTGATTTATCCACCTAGAAAGGATACAAACATTAGCGTTTCTGTCATGAAACCAAATATTCACTTTGTCTCAGAGTGGGATTTGACTCTTCTGCATCAATGCAGCTCTACTTTTATCCACCATTTAATCCACATGTTGTCGTCATATATGTAAACGTTTTTATTACGGTGGTCATTTCTTAAAGGTCATTTTAGACTTTACTCGTTGGTGTGTAGTACTGTATACCAGGTACAGTTTCCTGGTTTTACAGAGTTGCAATGCATTTGCAATATTCCCTATAGCACCTTTTTAAAACACTCTTCACTGCATATTGAATCCTGACGCAGGTCTCTTGTGGTCAATGTGATTTGATTTAATATGTAACAACCTGTTGAGTCCAGGCATTGTTTAAATAACATATTTTTGTATTAGTTTAGTGTGTTAATTTATCTGTCAGTCTGTTTCCTTTTTTTTGGTATCATTTATTCATGGCTAAATTGTATTCATCTGCCATATGTTAATATCTTTATATATACAGTCTATGGTTAATATACAAAACATCTAAACGGATAACATCGATATGAATCGATACATTTATAGATAAAGCAATAATTGTATGCAAGCAAAACTACAGGAAATACATAAGGCAGTTACACATGTCAAGTCCAAAACGTTTTATTCTACATACAGCCAACATTGTATTTTCCATTTATTCCTGGAATGAACAGTCGCATCGTAATATGCAAAGGTGTAATAGGAGAGAAAGAATGACTAGCTGTATTAATAAGGAATTGATGGGTGATCATTAAATAATTATTTAACTATCAACGAACCTAATTGTACCCACTTAACGAAAACATGAAACAACTCGTGTTCCCAAAAGCCTCTACATCTCAATTTGCTAAAATATATTGTACTCTGTGATTAGTGCCAACTAGCTAAGGTTAATATACATGATACCTGCTAAACATTAGCATGTTAGCATGATGGCTGAGAGTTATTTTTGGCATATGCATGAATGGACATTTTCCTTGTAAGATAAGAATATTGTTAATATTGTTTTGAAAGCATTATCATGGGTAGTTACTCTGACTCTGCGGCTGTCTATGGTCACCATCTTGGCTTCACCCTCCTCTCACCCTCTCTCTAGGGAAGCCATCAGCCTGGTGTGTGAGGCTGTTCCAGGGACCAAAGGAGCTCTGCGCAAGAGAAAGGTATATGGATGGAAAGAGAGGGAAGGAGGGAGGGAGGGAGGAAGTGAGATGCAGGGATCATGGGAAAAGTGATCTCTACACTGAGAGAGCTGATAAAAATGAATGTTACTTAATGGTACAGAAGGGAGAAAAAAAGAGGAAACAACATTAGATATTCATTTACTCGTCCACGTTCTATAAATAGCATCGCCTCGGTAAGTTCTTCCTCTCTTCCTTCATGTAAAAAGAGAGGGAAAACGGAGACAGATAGAGGGATTGTACTAAGAGAATAGAGGGAGAGAGAGAGGCAGAGGAGAGATGAAGAGGTATGGGACTGTATGTGCGTGGGCGTAGCTTCAGCCCACGATGCATTGCACACCGCGCGCACAGTGCTTAGTGACTCATGTAGTGCACAATATCTGTGATCAGGAGACTGAGCTAGTGTGTGTGTGTGTGTGTGTGTGAGAGAGCGTCTGTCTTCCCTGTGTTTGTGTGTGCGTGTGCATGGTGTGTGTCCACAGTGTGTGAGAAGACTGTGTCTTAATGTGGGGTGTGAAATGAAGCATTACTCTGCTCTCTAGAGCTTGTTCAAATGTCAGGGAAGAGTATATAACACCAAAAAATCACGTAGACTAGTTTCTCTCGCAGAATAAATGTAAGATATAAGATGATGATAATTTGGCTGTGTGACAAATGCACTGTGGTGACATCAGCCTCATACGGAGAGGTTTGAATGGCTCATTTTGTTTGACCCTATCGCCCCTTCTCTTATCAACACTCATTAATTCACTCACAAACCTATTATTAGATTAATTTGCATGGCCCCAACAGTAATCAATAAATGTATTGAATAATAATGTTTCTTCTGTATTAACTAAATAATAGTGAAATGACCCTTTACATTACTCCTTAAGGTGAGACACTGCAGGCTGAGTTAGCTATTTTGCTCTCATAGTTTATTTTTTCAGTTTAGTGAAAAGAAAGTTTTTCTGTTTGCATCTGTAGATTTCTCTTAAATCCACCAAAGGTTATCGTTAGAAAATGTATATTTCGCAAACAATTTTAGGAAAACTTGTAATAATACAGTAAAAATAACTGTTTTGACATAAATGGAGACATTTCATAGAGATTTCGTTTAGTCCATTATATTATTTATTCTACAATTCACCTGGTGTATATCTCCTTAAAGGAAGAGTTTATTAATTGTTCATTTTGGTAAGTTTGCTTTGTCATTTATTCGCAGAAACGTACTAAATATGAATCTCCACCTAGCAGCAGGTAGGCTCAGCTTAGCTTAACATAGAGCCTGTTAACAGGGAAACAAATAGCATGGATCTTTTGACATCTTTCCCAATGCTTATGCTAAGCTAAACTAAGCAGCTCCCTGCCGACCGGCTTCTGGCTGCAGCTTCATTTTATACTTTAGAGACATCATTTAAGCTTTTTTAACATTTAAGATATACTGTTTAATTGGTAAGAAGAGACTTAGTTGATGTATTTCATTTGATTTGTGTGTGTTTCTGTGTCCTCCTGTGATCCCCTCAGCCACCATCCAAAGCTCTGTCCAGTATCTTGGGGAAGAGCAACCTGCAGTTTGCTGGCATGTCCATCAACCTGAATATCTCCACCAGTAGCCTCAACCTGATGACCCCCGACTGCAAACAGGTCATTGTGCAACCTTTATCAACACTTGTGATTCTGTGAGCCACAGGCATGCATTTAAGAAAATAGTACCACCATTGTTTTGTTCAAAAAAATCCCCCATCAACCTATATAAATATGTGTGTGACGCACAAGAAATAAATAAACCTTCAAAACGCTAACTGAAGAAGGCCATGAGATATGCTTCAAGCTTGGTGAATAGCTACCTTATGTACCTTGTGTTTTTCAGAATATTTACCCAAGTATCTACAGGATAAAGAGAAAATCTCCAGAGCCAAAGACAGATCAGAGGACATTCTAAATTTAGAGATCTTATTTTTAGCCGTTTCTAAAGTGACACGTTTTTTTAAATAGAATCCAGAAGGTCTGTTTAAGGAGGTTTATGTAATAAAAGGAGGGAGTCAAGCAAGAGCACAGATGCTCTCCAGATGTTGCAACATAAACGAAGGAGGTGGGCAACATGACTGCCCCCCATGCACTTCATGACATTTAGCTTATGGTTTATGGGTAAAATAAAACAAATTAAAATATTTATTTTGTTGTGGTTATTGTTCACCCTGGTGCTCTTCTTGATACTACCTGCAGATGGTGCTATATAAATAAAAAAAATAAAATCCACACGTATACACCACATAACATTAAAAAAAATATTGAGTATCAGTTTGTAAGGTTATAATGCAGAGAGAGTTTCAGAAGAGCTGTTTCCAAGCACCAAATCTCACTCAACAAACTCATAGTTGTAGCTCATCAAAGTTAAACTAAACAGCCATCGATCTTCTCTCTTTTAATAAATGAGTTGGTAATAATGGCCAATAAATAAACCAAATTATTCTTATATACATAAATATATGTGTGTAGAATTTGATGCATTTGTATTGTAAAGAGGAATTTGCTAATTTATATGTACATGATACTTTTTATCTTGACAGATCATAGCCAACCATCACATGCAGTCCATCTCTTTTGCATCAGGTGGAGACCCCGTAAGTAACTCAACACTGTCAAAGAGTTTAGTGATATTTAAAACCTCAACTACCTCATAACAAAAATATTGAATAAACCACAACATTCATGTTATGGTTTTGTTGTATTTTATCACTGGATATTATAACAACAGTTGTAATTTGTCCCTTTCGTTTTAAGGACACAACAGATTTTGTTGCCTATGTAGCAAAGGACCCTGTGAACAGAAGAGGTAGGTGTACGTCCCTCTGATCTCTATATGTTTTATATCTTACATTCAACATGCTCATTAAAGTGTGTTGCTCTGGCCTTCGTCAGCATGTCACATCCTGGAGTGCTCTGATGGGCTGGCCCAGGACGTTATCAGCACCATCGGCCAGGCCTTTGACCTTCGCTTCCAGCAGTACCTTCAGTGCCCCTCCAGCAAAATGTCCTCTACACATGACAGGTAGGGTATATGATACAGGGCATTCAACCTTATTGTTCCTGTACAGGCATTTTTCCTACAATTCTTCTGGCATTTCCTCAGAAGATAAATAAAACATACAACATACCTTTTTAGCTCTGGACAAAGTAAATGATAAGCACATTGACATATTCACACATGATTTCAGTACAGTAACACACACACACACACACACACACACACACACACACACACACACACACTACCGACCTATTGCATGTGAATGTTGGAAAGCTTAATGCACATTGACAGAAATGACAGCAGTGTCTCAGACTGAATCTTCTTCCAGAGGGTGTTCATGAAACACTCCTAAACCACACACACACACACACACACACACACACACACACACACACACACACACACACACACACACACGTTTCATGATCAACCCATATTTGTCCTCAGGGTATTAAACATGGAGGAGTTGCCATGGACAGAGGAAGAGGAGGAGTCATCAGAGCATCCTTACTACAACAACATCCCCGGGAAGATGCCGCCCCCTGGAGGCTTCATCGACACCCGGCTGACCAATCAGAATGCAGCGTCAGAGGGAGGCCAGGTACAACTCAATTTATGTTGGATAATCTCAGGATTTAGCAGAGTAATTAATTTTTTCCTGGGGCGAAATTAGAGATACCCCAATTGCAATTTTGTAGAGCGTAAAGAGAAATATTGAGCGCATTCTTAAACATTTTTGTAACTTCTTCTTTCAAGGAAAATGTAATGTCATATGTATGTTATTTGAAGAAAGAAAAATTGAACATTAAATCACTTACAATTTCTCCAAAACTGCACCAAGTATCATTTTAATCGTGCAACTCCACAGACTTGCAGGTGTCAAAATATCAAGCTTCATGTCTTCCTTTTCATGCTGAAGAACTTCCACACCAATGTCATTTATGTGCGTGTGCACTTTGTTCGTTTTAAAATATCAACTCATGATTTCTCTCTGGGTTTCTGTTTGTCATCAGATGGGCCCAGCTTCAGTGGATCAGACATATTACCAAGGGCGGCACTGTGGAGAACACTGGGGAGATGGAAGAAAGCCCATAATCATACAACAGGGTAAGAAAATACACACTTTCCTGTGACTTGAATACTCAAGACATGAATTTCATAAATTGAACACTGTGGCTTTGATTGTTTCTCCAAATGTAGGATCCTTCGACATAAACAGTCTGCCGGAGAGTAAAGGTCAGGCCTCAAAACCAGCAGAGATGCCGGCGTATGTGAACACTCAGCAGATCGACGCCCAGGTGCTCGTTGCACTCCAGGCAGAGGCAGAAAATGTGACGAAGGGCATGGCGGCCGCAGCCAAAGAGAGCCCTCAGAAGGACCTGTTCGACATGAGTGAGTCTCTACTGAAGGATCACTTTAACGCTGATCATGTGAATAGTGTCATAATGTTCTTTGGCTTTCAGAAAGACACTGTAATGACTTTCTAATCAGAGTTCTTAATTATAGAGTTTTCCCAGCTTTTAGTTTCTCAGTGACATCGCTGTGGCAATATAATAACACCATATCAGTTTGGACACAAAAGGAGGAGTGTTATCTTTCAGTTTTATTCTTTCATCTGTTCAACTTCCACCTTAGCTTTTCTTTAATTATACATACAGATCTTTGTAACTATGTATGAGAAATACATGACACAAATTACATGTGAGCCATAAACTATAACATTCCAAATGAAAGTGTGAGTGGAGGTGTTATCCTCCTCCTGCTGTAGTTCTCTCACTGTTAACAGTCCCATTAGACTTTGTTCCTCCACTAACACACTCTAAATCCAATTCCATTCAAAAAATAAGATTTTCTAATTGATTTAAATGGTTATTTAATCATTAGTTTGGAAGAAGATGTTTGTGTTACATATCAGTATCACAGCAGGAGATGTGTTAGTTACTCTAGAAAGGACGTTTGATTAAATAGGAAAGAATTCTTCAGTGTTTTTCATTTAAATATATTTTGTTCCAATTTGTTTATGCTTTAAATCCAGGTGTTTTGCTTGCAGTATACTTTTCCTTTGCCTTTATCTAGTGCATGGCTACATCTCTAACTGCATTACCGCCACTTGTTGATAAATGGAATAGTGTAATATAAGTATTAAGACTATTGTATTAGAGATATTTGCTTCAATCCATATTTCATGATGTTTTCCGTTAAAAAAAAAAAACAACAGTTTCACAACGGTCCACAAACAGTTTTCTCTCCTGCCTGTTGCACACATACATTGCGGAGTAACAGCAATGACTTTATTCAAAACGACGATGTTGTTCATATTTTCATTTTTTTAATTTAGGGTCATGAAATATGCCTACAAACAATTAAAGCTTCAAATAGATTAGGGTTACTATTCATTTTACTGCTATGAAGAAATTAAAACCCTGTGGTCTGGCTAAAGCAGCAATGACTTTCTATTTCTAAGAGACATATTTAGTTTTTTTGACTAACCATTATAGTATCTGATATTATTGATGTCATAGTTCACAAGTCCTGACGGCTGTAGGATGTCCAGTTAAAACTCATACTACAGAAATCCATCCTCTCTTAATTGATTGTTTCGGTCCTGCTCTAACTTACACCAGAGCCCTTTGGGGATGCCATCCAGTCGCAGTCCAACCCGGGGTCCCAGGGGCCGGCCCAGCCCCAGGTGTCCAACCTCCACAAGGCGGCGTCCGTGGACAACCTGAGTCCTCTGCTCGTGCGCTCCGTGGCCTTCAGGGCCCAGGAGGAGCTGGAGGGCAAGACGTGGTACCACGGCAAAATGAGCCGCCGCGACGCTGAGAAACTGCTGAAAGAAGACGGAGACTTCCTGGTTCGTAAGAGCACTACCAACCCGGGGTCCTACGTCCTGACGGGCATGCACAATGGACTTTCCAAACACCTGCTGCTGGTGGACCCTGAAGGCACGGTAAGACGTGGCTAAAGGAAGTGTAGAGTGTGAACTCTTAATGCGGTCATGACAGATATTTAACCCCTCTTTCTCTTTTCAAAGGTACGGACAAAAGACCATATATTTGACAGCATTAGCCATCTTATTGGCCATCACCGTGACAACAATCTGCCGATTGTGTCAGCTGGGAGTGAACTGTGTCTCCTGCAGCCCGTTGGGAGGAAACAGTGATGTTTGCAATGCCTGCTGGGAAATGGGAAGCTCTGAACAGTCTCTCCTATCATCCTGAAACTTGAAGCTGGAACATGTGAAGATGCTTGAAGGCTTTACGCGCTGACAGTGATTTTGGGGGATTGGCCCGTGCTTACTTTACTGGAGGCACTGGAAGACCCAAGATTTGTTTAAGATAAAATAAATTATTTATAGAACTGTTATTATTTTGTTGTGAGGACTGAAATGCTATATTTTTGAGAAGACATAGGTGCATTTGGACATAATATCTTGATTTGGTGTTTAAAAGCTAAAAGAATAAAAAAAGACAATTGTTCTTGTAGTTTAGATCAAACCTCAAAGAGGTGTTAACAAGAGTATTTTAGAATAAAGACCTACAATTTTAGTTTTGTCTGTCAAGCACAACCACATTTCTACAGAAGCCGTTGGCTGAGAGGATGAGCAAACAAACAGTTTGGAAAACGTAGTTTTTAATGAATTAGTTTGATAAAAAATGGTCCTTTAATCTCTCCGATAGTGTGACAGCTCACTAAATTAGTCACTATATGAAATCTGCTTTTATTGGGGATTAGACCTGAATGTGTTTTGCTTTGCAGTAGTCACAACGTGTTGGGGTGCTAACAGGCATCCTTCATAGTGCTGTCAATGGCTTTAAAGATAAACTTTTTGTATGAAGTGTTTTCTCGTGTCACTGCAGTCGCATGACTTAAAATCAACTGTTCTTGTGGACATTGTTCGTAGACCTTGAGACCCCTTCATTTGAAAGAGGTGCTTGTGTATGCTGACACTGTCAAAACTATTTATGCTTTTCAACCAGTGATTATTTCTGAATTGGTTTCCTCTGGATTCTTCTTTTAGGTGTCAATGATTAGTTTGGGGGCTTGGGTCATGCAATTGATATTCTCACATTTTTAATTAGCATTTTCCGTCATTTTTTGGTGGACTTTTAAAAGGTATTGTTATTATTTGAATGACCGCAAATGAATAGCACAATCAGAGTAAGTTGTAAGACAAATTACCAATGTGTTGAGATGTAATTGACCGTTTTTACTTAAGAATTAGGCAAACACAAAGTGTGCACTCAATACATCATGGTTATTATGAGATCACCTTCACTTATTTATTATAACAAAAGGAATTTCTCACTGATATCTTATTGCAAGACTACTGTTTTGCCACTAGATGTCATCACAGAAATACTTTTTATCCCTGTCAGTCGCACTCACCTCTCTTGTGTTATCACCTAATAGTAGCAAAGGATGCTGGCTGTGTATTACTTTAAGAATTCCGATACCAACATTGTTTTTGCTTGACAGTTCAGAGTTAATTTGCATTTTGCCGTCCACTGTACACAATCATTCCTCAGAACGGTTTGCTGTATTTCCTCTTAAACACACTGTTTTTGTAGAGTGGGAATCAGACATTCAACATGGCTCATAGAAATAATACACAGCAGTTCTTTTTTTATTTTATTTTTTATTTAATCGTTCATTTGGCAGGGACATTGCACATTAATGAACACTTAAAACAATAAATATGTCAAGTGTAAATATGCCGGATTTAGCTTTGAGCTACTTTCCATCCACAGTCCCTCTAGCAACAGACTTTTCAAATGCTCTCATCCTTACTATTGTCAGTACTCTGATGGATACCAAATGAATGGGGCATTGTATTTGATATGCACTGGACCACTTCAATTGAACCAAAATCAGCATGTGTTCAATGAGTTTGACAAGACAGATGCAATGTAATATAACGTGCCTGTATTTTGCTGCAAGAGGGAGTGTACAGTACATGCATCTCACAACAACACTTATTTTAGCAAAGAGGGATCCATATGAAAATATCCACCTCCGGATTAATTTTGGTTGAAGCTGATAAGACTTTCCCTTGATTCCTTGTGTCCTTGAGAGTGGAAGAGGCAGAATATTTGATTGAGAGAAGGTGAGAAAAAAAAGGGCGCAAAGAATCATGATGTTTTTGGCAGTTATCACCCATTTACTTAAAAACAATCCTTTGTGACGTAATTTCATCAAATCTAATATCTTGGGAGAAGGAATAATGCGCCAAATTTCAAAAAGCAGAATGCTATTTATATTAAACTTTATTTCTGAAGTGCAAATTTGTAGAACCATCTTGGCAAAGTTTTGAACGAAGCGTATAAATATATAAATAAAGCAGGAACATCTCCATACTTGAATCTCTCTGATAACAACATGATTAGCTGTGTGGCATAAAGAAATTATACAACCAAACACGCTGAGACACAAAAAGAACAGCTTCTTTCCAGATTTCTGTTGATGAAAATGTGCCTTTTATTTGTACAAATGGTATTTTTATTTCTCTTTTCTCTCTCTTTCTTCAAAGTGCAATAGCTAATCTTCAATGGGGCATGCCTGTTCACTAGAGGTTGTGTTTTGCCCTGCTGCGTGTTGCTGCTTGAGACTACTGTTTCCTCTCTCTATCTGTCTCTTTCTTCCTCCCTCCCTCCCTCCCTCCCTCTCTATTATATATTATAAATGTATCATTTCCAGATTCTGAATATAAATCTTTGTTGGAGGGAATCACACAGAAACTCACTATTTTGGAACAGGTATAGTTAAAAAAGGAAATAAAAACAAAGAAGTCCAAATTATGTTTACAGATTTAATCATTTGGTTGTATGGGTTTATCATTATTCTGTATGACTGTTGGCAATAAAACCGTGAATGTGCAGAATCTGTTGTATCTGCTGAAATGATCGATAACACATTTCACAGATTATCTTGTCATGCAGACACTTTTGGCAATCTTGGCTATTATTTTAGCCAATATTTGTGTAGATTTAAAGGTCCCCTATTATGCTCTTTTTCAACAATATGTCATAGGTCTCAGATATATACAATACATGTCTCTGAAGTGTTTGGCTCGAAATAACAAACAGATCATGCATTGTAGTACGCCATACAATGCATGTTTCAGCCCTGTTTCTAAAGTGCTGATGCTGTGTCTGAGCTGCTGCTGGCCACGCCCCTCTGAGAGAGAGAAATCTGATCAGCTGATTTTCAGACAGGTTTTTATATAAATGGATCAGGACAAAGAGAGAGAGGGAATCTTTTTTCCTGCAACATTTTGAATCTCCTAACACAGAGGGTACACATATTATGTATAACAGACAGGAAAAAGTGGATTTTGCATGACCTTTAGGATCATTTTTTAAATAATTTCTGCCTCAAGCCCAATACAACAGAGGTGAATAGAATTTAGTTATTAAGACTGAACGCATTGGAAACACGATTACACAAATATATCCATTAACAGTTTACGTGTTATTCTGGATAAGCCGCAGAACACCCTAAGGGATTTTCAAAAACATAGTCCCAAGGAATATGGTTCAGGTCCTAGGACTATCCAGGGATGCTGATCATGAAAAATAAGTTGCTATTATTTTCCAAATCTGAAAGAAACACTCGCAAAAAAATGCATTCAACTTCATTGTATTGTGGCTGCAGAAATCTCAGAGGCAGTTCTCTCTAAAATTGGACATATCAAATCCAAACCATCCGGCTAGATATATACAAATAACAATTATTTTCTCCAATGATTAAATCGATAGAAAAGACATCACTGCACTCTACTATAAGCACAAGGTTTATTGTGTCAAAGCTAATATTCTATATTATATAAATAGCTGCATGTAGTTAACAACGTTTATTTCACATGCTGCATTCACATGCCTCCTCTGGCTTCATGCTAAAGATGATTAAGTTGAATTTTGTAAGAAACTAATTAAAATGCAACAGACTAGGATTAAAGAGATTCTGTTTTGAACGTGCAGGATGTTGGAGAATATCTAGTCAGCATTGAGAATTGAACCTACATATATTGAGCAGCAGATGGAGCCCTGGCATCACTTAGACTACTGATGTTGAATGAACTGCATCAGCTACATTCATTGTGTGGTTTGAACAGATGCAGTTTGAACATGATGATGCTGATTTAATGAAACGAGTAACAGGTTTAACTCTTCAGCATGTGCTTTTTTACATTTCACTGACATCACATATACCATGTATAATTCACTTATTGTTAAATAACTGCACGTAATACTGAGTTGGCCTATAATTGAGTGAATATAAAATTACAGAATAATAAATACATTACATAGTTTATCATAACATGGATGATTGTCTACAATCATTCTTCATTATGTTATTTTTGCAGCACTATAATTGCACTTTAATTCATTGCAGGTGAGTTTCACTTCTTATTCGTGTTCTTGGTCAAATCTGTAACTACAGAATTGTACAAATTGTCCTTGTCCTGCAAAAACACAAACCTCCAAAATGTCAACTTTGCATGAGGGAAAATTGACAATGCATTATGTTCCCCAGATAATTCAATTGGTTTAAAGATTTGTATCTTCGGGTAACTTTAAAATGACCAAATTCGGAGATGCGTAAATCTCACTGGAAAGAGATATTGTAATACTGTACTTGACAAAGAGTAAATATTGATTGTCTCCTTGAACGCTTTGGCCTCATACATTAATCAGTGTAATGTGTAGTCATTTTAATACACTTCCCATTAATGGATGATGCATATTTAAACACATCATGCACCTATAGAAGAAATCCACTGCCCTGCACTTCAAGAAATCCTTCGTTTGAATCAATCAGAGCTCGTATTTCATTATGGTCACCAATTTTGACCAATGCATAGGTCCAACATTAGGACCAAATGTCCCTTTGACATAGAGTAGATAACTTAGTTCAGTCTTTCATGTCACTTTCGATGACGGCCTTTGCAGCCCCCCCTGCCACCACTGAGACCTCGCCATGGGCCGCCTCCTGCCCCTTCTCCAGCTCCGCCTGCCTGGAGCTCTGCTGGCTCTGGTTGGGGTTGTTCTGGCTGCTCCACGACTTGCTCCTGCTGCGGCTAGGTTCCAGAGATTTCCTGTTTTCGCTGCCATTCCCAGAATCCTTCCCTCTGAAGCAAATGCCACACACCACGCCCAGGAAGGCCATTCTCATCTCACGGCTGGCCAGAGTGTAAATGACCGGGTTAATGGCTGAGTTCAGCACAGCCACTGCGATGAACCATTCAGCCTTGTAGAGGATGGGGCAGCGCTGCACACATGCCACATCCACCAGGAGCAGGACGAAGATGGGCGTCCAGCAGGCGATGAAGACCCCGACCACAATGATGACGGTGCGCAGCAGGGACATTGCATGCTCAGAGTTCCTGTTCTTGCTCACCTTTCGGCTGCTGGACTTCACAAGGATGTAAATGCGAGCATAAAGGACTGACATGGCCAAGAGCAAAACCATATAAACTGTGATACAGAAAGCTACATATTTCTTGCTGTAGAGAGGGAGAACAGTGGAGCAATCGGGGAGGTTGTCCAAGCAGTTCCAGCCTAGAATAGGCAAAGCGCCAAGAGAAATGGCAATCAGCCAGCAGGTCCCTATGAGCAGGAACACTCTGTAGTTCTTGTTGGCATCATAAGGCCTCATTTTGATCATTGTCAGGTGTCGTTCTATAGCAATAGCCAGGAGACTAAAAATGGAGGCTCCAAGTGCAACAAACATGCTTCCCTCTCTGACGAACCAGAGGGCAGGTGAGAGCTGCAGGGTCTTCTCCCCCGACAGCAGCAGGTTCACCAGGTAGGCCACTCCAGCCAGCATGTCACACAGCGCCAAGTTGCCAATGAAGAAGTACATGCGGTTGTGGAATCTGTGGTTTCTCCATATGGCCACCAGCACGGTGAGGTTCTCCAGGACGATGAAGCTGCATATGATGAGGAACGCGATAGTTTTGGCGTCCACGGTGCCGGAGCTTGTGCCGACGCTGGGTCGATGCTCCAGCTTCCCTGTGTGGTTGTAGTGGAGGTACACCTCAGGGTTGATCATCTTAAAAGCACCGGCTGCTGACACTGGATGTCAGAAGTGAGCAAGGAATCCAGTGTCAGCTATTTCACCGTGTTTACCTGCAGGGTAAGATGTGAGGGATGAGAGTGTTATTTGAAAAAGCAGCCAATTTAGAGTTCTTGAATATTGATCCAGTTATACAGCATTTAATGGTTTTGTATATTCGATTTTAACTGGATCTAGTTTTCCTAATGGAAACAGATCTTCTTAAAGACTAACAAATAGGTACCTGCTGTAAACGTTTAAAAGTATACACCTTAAAATACACTGATGCTGTTTGTTTGTTTGTTTGTTTACATAGGAATTTTGGACCGTTGCCCAAACTAACAGGGGCTCATTTGAAAATGAAAATTAAGGTTTGCCTTAGCTTTTCATACACAGTCGTTTAACTGATAATCACAAACATACTGTACACTTAATCGATGACGATTTCACTGCACAGTAAAAAAACCTTGCAGATTTAACGTAGTTTATGCCGATTCAAGTTTTACGCAACTTACCGTGGGATGCTTGAAGTCCGGGTTTAGTTGAAAGTGAAACGCGCACAGAGAGACACACATTTAATTGCTGAGTGGTCGATTATCCGTGTTTTCCAGATTTAACGTTGAACTTTAATCCCGTCTCCCACGGCTCAGTGGAAGAAAGCTCTCCTCATCTTTTACTGATCTCTAAACTCCGCAGTGACGACGGTTGGCTGGAAGTCACACCCCCCTCCTCCCCCTGCTGCTCCCCGGCCAGGAGAGGAATGAAGGGGATGAAGGGTCAGTGAAGCAAAGGCAACCAGGTGTGTGGAAACTCATAATGTCTTTTTCACAATATTTTTCACAATAATCCTGTCCCCGACATGTTCCTCAGCAAAACCAATCAGGAATACGTTTGGGGCAACAACGTTAATGTTCCATTTTAAATTCACGAGTGTTTCATTGATATATAATTGTGTGTGTTTTGAGGAAATTCGAACCAGTAATAGTTTTTAATATATATATAATTTATAATATATAGGCCTATGTATTTTTTGTTTGAGCTTGTGAGCTAAAGCTAGCTAGCTTGATTAGCATATTTCATAGTTAGCTACCTAACTAGCTAAAATTAATTACATCTATAGCTTGCTTGCATTCGAAAAAAACATTTAAACATTGCTTATACTGTACAAAAAAATCATAACATGACATGGTGCCAAACCTAATCAAACATATCTCCTCTATTTTTATCATACAGTCTCAGTCTTGCTAGTTCTGTACTTCAAGTTAGCCAGCTAAATGTAGCCTTCTAGGTAGGCTACTGGCCTAATACAGAGATACTTTAGCTAGATAAATTGACAAGTACACATTTGTTTTAATATTAGGTAAGAAACAAACATCATACAAATCAATTCATAATACAAATAAATAAACATTCATTTCATTTCATTTCAAACCTTTATTTAACCAGATTGGTCCCATTGAGATCATAGATCTCTTTTTCAAGGGAGACCTGCAGCATATAGGTTCCACATGAAACATAAAACAATAAAGGACATCATACATTATATTTACAGGATACATTTACATAGTTATAGACATTTACAAGTACCCATAGTAACATGATCTAAGTATAGAATAAAAACAGAGGATAAAGATTTCTAAAACTACGACTCTTTATGACACAGTTATATTATGTACAGCAGTGCAAACAAAGCCAGGCTCTGTAGATATACACATAAATGTACATGAGTTAACTCAACAAAAGTCTTTATTCTATACAAAAGTTGATTCTCCCTGCTGTCTTTCTTCTAGACATGGACAGAACATGAGAAATATGAATCATACAATATGCTGTATGAGTCTAAGTTAAGATGAATGCAGCCCATCCTTTGTTCTGGTCCTTCTGTCGTGACCTCATATCCAGGAAGGATGGGCAGGGCTGGCAGCAAGGAGAGGGACTCAGAGCCTGGGAGACAGAAAGACAGATGATGACTCTTTGAAAAAGACGTGATGGAGTGGAATCTACACAGCATAGAATTAAAGACTTCCCTAACTAAAACTAAGCATAAAATGAACAAAATGGGACAACAAATAAACCGTTTATTTCAAACAAAATCCAGAAATTGCACCAGGAATAATTGAGTCATCAGCATTGTGAATATGACTCAGATGCTAGGATTCTTACTGCTTTAGCCTACTTTATACAGTGCCCCACATTTGGCTTCTTGCGATTTCCCTCAAACTAAGCACATATTGTACTTTGTCACAGACCAAATCACTAAATAGTAGATCTCTTCCAGTGTCTGTGGTTAATAACCCAGATAAATGTTTTGTGTGGTTGGATAAACAGCTGTGGTCTGGCATTTGTCCATTAGCATTGTTACAGTCACAATTCTCAGTCATTTCCTGCAGGTCGCACTGTGCCAGCAGCAATGGGAAAAATCTCCGGGAAAAAGCCAAATAGTTACTCTGGACCCGCAGAAAATCTGGGACCAATCACAGAGTGGGTCTACGGTAAGGCAGCTGGATTAACAGACGGGGAACATGGTTGGAAAAACCTTGGGTTTTTCAGCAAACTACAGTGATGTGGGGCTCGCATCTGCATTTACATAAACGTTGAGCCAAATATGAAACCATCAGCAAGTACAAACCCATAATATGTGGTGAAAGTGAGTCTATGTCTATGTTTATTCATAGACTACTGAAGAAGAACATGGGTGGAGGGTTTTCACTTTTGCAGGACCACCCTCACTACTTTGGTTTGAGGGAGGCTTAATTCTTTGTCAGAACGACAGTAATTAAAGCTGTCTATGGCTGCCATTTTCAAGCATCAGTAGCTGTTCATCCCCCATAAAACTGCAAATGCACTGTATGTGTGATTTCCTGCCATTATAATGCTATATTATTTAAGTATAAAACCTACAGGCTGCAACCTCTCATTTGAAAGTACTGTACAATAAAGCCGCTGGCCTCAGAGTAGCTGGCCTCACAGATGGTAAAACCATTCCTCAGGGAAAGTTTCCACTGCTCATCTACAGGCTTCCCTGGACCTTATGCAGGATACAGTTTCTGTGTAATATTGTCAGTGGGTAGAAGGAGTATTCACATGATTTATTTAAGTCAAAGTAGCAATAACACTCTGCAGAACTGCTCCATTACAAGGGAAAAGTCCTGCTCCTAAAAATGTACTTCAGTAAAATTGCAATTCAAAGGTAGAGCAGGCCAACGTGTAGCTACTCTATAAACTGTAGCCTAATACTTTTTAGTGGATATTTCAATCTATAATAATGTTTCATATTTTAAAGAACAAACATATGTTTTAAAATCTTAACCTGCAAATTAACACTTACAGTTGTAGAGTAAATTAAGTATATATATATGCACCATGACATCAAGTCAAATTCCTCGTATGTGTGAACCTACCTGGCAATAAACCCGTTTCTGATTCTGATATGCTAAGGAAATAAAAGTAAACACAGAAAATCACATGAAAGTTTGTTTCATGAATCACAGAAAATGGAAATACTGAATTAGTACCTTCTTGTACAACACTTGAGTCAATCTACTTTCTACTGCTGGACATTGTTTGATGTAAAATAAATGTCCAAATTTGGACATAGAAAATATATATTTTTGTGATCTAAAGAGCTTTGCACAGGATCTTCTTGCTATCTGTGCATATCAATAAAACACATTTAACTAGATCCTCTTGACTCAGGGCATTAACATAATCAGTATATTCATTATTAAACAATATGCAATAAAAAAGCAGCGTACATTTACAATTATTCATACGGTATACTAAGAACATTCATAATTGATTTTAATGCAGTTTATGTTACCGGTAGTATAATAGCCTCTCATTAAAATCAGAGAGCTCATGGTTAAATGAGAATGGACACACATAATAAAGGGCTCTAGTACAATAAGCACATTACAAAACCTATTTGGCTGGCATCACTGCAGCCATCACTTTGCCAGGGTTTGCCTTGTTCGAGATCTCAACCCCTCATTAGAGTGCAGGAGCTGGGGTCAAAGCCGTGGGCAGTGGGCACATCCATGTGCAATTACATGAAAACCCTGCCTTTAATTTCACCCTCTCCCTTTTTGAGGCAAAAACACACCCCGAGAGTCTGGGCTACAAATCTGAGGCGGACAGTCCCCTCCTGCCCTGTGGCTTTGTGGCGGCAGTATTTCTAGGCACGGCGGTCTCTTGCATGCAACTTAACAGAACAAGGCCTCGGAGACATTACTGAGGCATAATTTCAGCTGTGGCACAGTTTAGTCTGGGATCTGCCAACTTTAAAAGGCCACACAAACAGGAATAGGTCTTTAGTTCTGTCACCTCCTTTTTCTGCAGAATTATACCTCTAGTTCTTTCAACATTACAGTATGTGCAGAGATCTTAATTTTCCATGTCATTTGTTACCGGCTGAGAGATTAATTGGATGGTTTAATTTCGGTTCTGCCAGTGAGTCGTACTTTAATAATACTACAGTGGCTCCTCAACAGACTATCCAGTGTCAAACTGGCTGCCATTACTGTACGAGCAAGTTTAATGGACTGAAATCACTTAACACTGAAATTGGAGAAAGAAAACAGTAGCCAGCTTTTCTGTAGAGGGCTCATTATAAGGGCTTCTGATAATTGCATGGTGCAGCCACGGTTACTGCCGGCTTTGCTGCATGTTAGCACACATGATATTTTCTTCACCTCCACATACATGCATGGCAAAAATCACACTTCCACATGTAATATGTACGTATGTACAATGTTAGTAACATATCCTGAATTTTGTTCCAGATAGGTACATACATTTTGTATTAGATGCCCTAAATATGACCCTATACTGTGCATTGCTTATAAATGATACTTATTCTTCATAGATACATTAAGCCTTGAAAGAACATACATTTGGGGTTTATAGGACAGGTTATTTAAAGTCAATCTGCATGTATTTTTTCTAAGTAAATGGGAATGAGTCCTTATCAAAGGATTTTAATAATTAAATCTGCATTTGTACTGTAAGTGAAAAGGATTAATGAATGTACATTGGTAGTCTATACACAAGATTCACCTAAATACTTAGCAGTCAAATGTAGAAAGGATAACTAATTCTAAACATGTCAAGTCAATATGTGATTTAACAAGCAACATTTTTATACAACATGGCAACAACAACAACAACAAGGTCCCAATAAATGGCTTATAATGATGTGTAAAGCATGTATACGTGACCTGTTAATGATTACTGACACTACTTTTTCTGTTCGGGACAGACTACCGTATGTTGCTTTCAGTTCATTGTGTGCACTCATTTCCCCTTTTACAGTACGCAGATACTATTAATAGAATCAATAGGGAAGTGGTAAAACCTACTGCGTTCATCATCTTTAATGTTGAACTACTGTTTTTATCCTTTGTGGTTTGATTGATTGATTGATTGAAAAGTGTATTAACAGCTTGTATATTGGGTACAGTACAGTACAGCTCAAAACATACAATTGTTAAGGGGATGCAGACCAGAGAAAGACTTTCGTCTTGTTTACATCAGGGTCCCCCATTTCCAATTCATCATATCATTTAAGACATATAAGACATATTTGACATACAGATGGCTTATTTACAATTTACATACAGGTGGTTTTTTACATACAGATGGCTTAATTACAATTT